AAAATGTACACTTTATTATAGAGAATACCATGTTGAGGTGGGAGAATGGTATTACTATATAGAGTCATATGACACTCTTTACCTACCTACACTAAATACAATCTATTGTCTAACAGATTGTGCTGTAGATTTAGGAGTTTATTATAGAGTTTTATAAACCTTATTTCTCAGTCAAGATCTCAGATTGTTCACAAAGTATTGTATTCCCCTCCAGGAAGAAATCCAAGAAGTTATGCCAAGTAATAAAGGAAGACTGCGCAGAGCTTCAGATTTGCTTGGCATTGTTTGGAGGCAAGTCCATCTTCTGCCTCTGCTGTCGAAATCACTAGCTTTTCCGTTGCTCAGAAGAGAGAAACACTGGGGAAAAAACAGATAGGAACCAGAGTTTGTGGTGTGGCTTAAAAGAAATGTCTCTTGCATGAGTGTTCAGAGCTTTTATATAACATTGACTTGCATATAGCTATGACATGTACATCTTATGTTGTATGTATTCAGGTCTGTTTAACTGTAATCTTCTGCATTATTGACCTGTTGAAAGGTATTAAGACAAAGGATTTATTTTTTGTGCATAGAGGGTTCTGCAGGGATTTTTCTTTTTGTAGTTTGCATAGTTCTCAGTGAAAAGAGTTATTTTCTTTTCTGTTCAGAGAAAACAACAATGCTGAAAGAATATTTAACTTGATGCCAGAGCGAAATGAACGATCTTACTGTGCGTTGATCAGAGGAATGGTAAAGGTACAGTAGTCTTTTTGTAGACTTTTTCTTTTACAAATGTGAGGTCATTGGATTCTAGAGTGTCTACTCATGTGTACCATTTTCTTAATTCACAGTGTGGTGCTTATACAAAGGCATTCAGCACGTATACTGATTTGCTGAACAACCGCCTGACTGGTAAGTAACTTGAGCAGAGCTGTTTTTCGAATGTAAATCTGCTTTATGGCCACAGTAGGTCAGACATTTTCTTTTTCTGCCTGTTAAGGTCATTTTCTAGTAACAATTAAAATCTAAAAAGCAGTTTTGGTGGGTTTAATGTGGCAAATGAGTCCATATTCACAAGTAAATGCAGTTGTGCGATTCACGTATAGACATTGCTGTCTGCAACTTGGATTCACCTGTCTGCCCAAGGAGGTTTTGTGACTGACACAGCTCCAAGTCTTTTTATTTAATTGTACAAAACAAATCCTACTTTTAGAAACCTTTTGAGCCCAAACTAGCATTCTTTACACAATGCTCTTAGATGTTACCTGTAATTACCATGTGCAGGCTGCTGGCGGTGATGATTGGCGCAGGGGTACGGACCTCAGCTGATGATGGGAGCTGAGTGGAAGTGTTGCTCTCTGTCAGCAGGCGAGTGGCCGGCTG